TACGCGCACGGGTGACCACTACGCGCACGGGTGACAAAGAATAGAAGTTTCAAGGAATCCCTGTGTCACAAGCGTTAGTTCATCTTTCAACTTGTTTACAAATATATAGGAAAGGTTTCTATAGTTTCACTTCGCTAATCAGATTTCATTCTTTTCCCAACTCGCATAAATTTTTTCCAAGAATTTGATCAAAACAAATTATGTCCATTTAGTTCAAAAATTTTGAAAAAAAATTGAAAAATGTTCAAATTTAGGTGGAAAAGTTTGTGCTCAAATGGTTAATCTCGAAATGAGTACAGCATTTTAGCTTTTTCTCTCCCAACTTGTCATATGACTAATGTAACTAACTGATTTTTCCTCTATACAAGGGTGGAAAACTTGTGAAGTTTATGAAAGCGTGAAAGATAGCCCTGCCCGACAGGAACACACGTTGGTAAAGAAGTCTCATCCACCTCCAGTTGCCCCAAGACCGGCTCTTAAACCCAAACCTAATGTAAGTGAACATATAGTTTGGAGTGTGTAAAACAAGTCTAATCTATACTAATCATGGTTCACCCTGCTTTCATGTTGCCTAAACATTTCATTTTTGATGAGGGTTTTTAAGCTTAGCTGCTGTGTAGATGCATATGGGTTGAAGGTGTCTTATAGCATGAAAAAGTTTGGCCACACATAACACAATCTGTTGAATCTTTGTACTGTTACTGTCTTCTTGCTCATGATGAGTGAGTGGCCGACCGACCAGAGTTTCAATATTCCTGTGATTTGATTTCTGATCTATATTTCAATTGACTAAACATCTGTGAACACATACATGTGCACACTGGCTGCTTGGTGTCTTCCTACGCCTCAGTTGTCGTTTATTTCACAGGTTGGAAAATTAGATCTTTCACTGTATGCAATCAGTAAAACTGAACTAAAACTTCCAAAAGCAGCACCGTTGGCTACGCCCGATGAAGACGACTACTCGACACCTAAAGATTATGTGAAACCGCCAAATGCAGGGGGGAATCTATAGCGATGTGGCAGATGTTATGCCAAAGGGGAAATCGGTAAGAGACTTCTACTAATCAGTGACATGGTTTTCCTGCCTTGGGGTGCAACACTGCTGCTGTTAATTTTGCTTCTAATAGATCAGTGGGGCTTTGCATGGCTTTTTGTTTAACTTGGCGGTGTATGATTTCATAGTGGATTAATATTTTCTTTTTAAGCTTGGTTAATAATAATGCCAGTGTAATAATAATAACAGTATAAATAATATTTTATAGTATTTTAATTTTTCTGAATGATGCATATGTAAGACAGTCTGCCTTCATATCAATGTCACTTGTCAATTGCAAATCTAGAATGCTTGCCACATATGCAAACTGTTATAACCTCTGTTCCCATACAATAACTGACTATATTACTGTATGCATGTATGCATGTTCATCTTCATAGTTATGTTCCAACGTAATCCATAGGTATCTGACATTGTCACTATTCATGTTTGTTGTTCCTCCCATGTAATAGCTGACTGTATTATTATATACCGGTATACATGTTTGGATTCAAAGTCAATGTTTTTGGAAATGTTTGTGAATCATTATTTCCTCAAATATTTTGTCACTTATTTTTGGTCACTGTTACATCGAGATATCGGTTGTTGTACATGTGGGTTTCATAATGGTTGTTACTCAAATATGGAGAAGATATCTGAGAAATAAGTGTGTACATGGCTTTTGTTATTAGAACAAACAATTTTGAAACAGGAAAAGTTTGTGTTTAATTTAAATAGTTATACTTGAACTAAAAGCTTGAAACCTTTGTTATATTGACTACAGATGATGGTTAGGGTAGCTGCTCCGCCAACTGACAGTGAAAGTGACCATTCTTCCCTGGAAAGAAACAAAAAAGGCAATGATGTGTATGCTATGGTTTCGAAAAAAGAACACAAAAAGAAAAGTAAGAGAGGGGCTCCTGAAAAGAGTTCATCATCCTCCTTGTCGGATCCATCAATACCGCCACCATTGCCTGAAATCACAAGCAAGAGATTGGAAAGTAATGGTAAGATTATAAAATCAACAGCTAATGGTGTGACTCATCAGTTTTGCTTGACTGTTATACATTGCACCTTAGCTTCTTACTATAAATTACATTTTGTGAAAGTGAGTTCATGTTATAATTATAAACTTGATATTTTATTTATGTTCAGAAACGAGTAGTGACAGCGATGGAAAGGCTGAACTAGCTACCACCAAAAAGCCTAAGAGACGAAGTCTACGTCGTAGTCAAAAACAGATAGTTGAGAGTGGAACACCATCAGATGAACAACTGCCTGGTATGTATGATGACTACCCAGCCCGTGTACGAGTGTTACCACCATCAGCGCATGAAGACATTGAAAATGAGGATGTAAGTAATTTGTCTATTTTTTGGGGGGAAGAAAGTGAGTTGGTGAGGTCACTGTGTCAGGTCACAGCTCAAATCAGGATTTGAAGGAACACTCGTCTGGTTCTTGTCATCAGCTTTAGTTTTCATCTTCAGCAAGAGATGAAGATGATGAATTTGAAGCTTTGGCTGTGACTGCCTGGCGATGCATTGCTTTGGCTGTGACTGCCTGGCGATGCATTGCTCTGGCTGTGACTGCCTGGGGATGCATTGCTTTGGCTGTGACTGCCTGGCGATGCATTGCTTTGGCTGTGACTGCCTGGCGATGCATTGCTTTGGCTGTGACTGCCTGGCGATGCATTGCTTTGGCTGTGACTGCCTGGCGATGCATTGCTTTGCTGTGACTGCCTGGCGATGCATTGCTTTGATGTGACTGCCTGGCGATGCTTTGCTTT